TCTCTGACTACGTAGAAAACCCCGGTCGTAATCCCGATTTCCATTGCAGCATACGATGCAGAATCATCAGGGTGTACAGCTGTGCAAATCTCTCGACGTCATCTTCTGACCTCAGCTCACTGTGTTATACAGAAAACTCGCTATTGGGAACGTTATTGCGCACTACATACTGAAACTAAGCAGTAAGTCGTTAACTTTGGGGGCCCAGAGCATCTCGTCCGGGAATATTTGACTCTATTAAGCGATATGTATTGGGGTGTACCATTGGCACGCTTCAAAATCTACATTGGAACGATATGTACTCACCCAGAGCTTTGTACGGAACAGACCTTGCGTAAAGCAAAGGACGTGTGTGGGCTACTTCACATTTCTTTGATTCGTCATATTTTTTGATTTCTATTCTGAATTATATATTATTGGTGATCAATATCGATCATTTACAGATTATTCATCATGAAAAATATGATCCTTGTACACGGGAAAACGACATAGCAGTAATTGAACTGAATGAAGATGTACGAAGAGAAGAAGGTACACCAGTCTGTATGCCAGAGCCATACGAGCCGCTGGATCCAACACTGACGGCAATTGGTTTCGGAACAGATCGTGAGTGTGATGAAGTGAATCGGTATTTCTCTCAGAAATACTACACTTTCCCAAACCGCTATTAGTCATTTTTTTTATTTTGGAGCTTTTCTTGCTGGTGGGAGTTTTGAGTTTCTTTGGAAACGTTTGATGGAACTAATGGAATCTGAGGCAGAAACACCTCAGAAACATCTTCTTCTTGCCATAACTCTCGGACACCCAGAAATAATCTTGGTTTTTCCACATTGCCTAAGTCAGCCAGTCAGGACCAATTCGGAAAAAACAGGGCAAAAAAAGGCCCCTTTACAGCAATTGCTTCGCACCTTTGCTGCTTTGCTTGTTGCTTTAAGATAAGGGCGATAGAATGATGCGTTGGACGAGTTCACCGCCTCCGCTGGGTACGCTCCGGGATTGCGATAGCACGTAAGTACTTGCTTGCCACCCATTGGCCTCGAACCTTCAACGAAGGTTATATCTGAGCGGCAATTCGCAGCGATTTAAACCGCTGTGGTATGGTCGGAAAATACTCGTGTAGTTCAGGTCTAGACCAGCCAAGTCTTCAATAACTCCAGAATCGGCTAATAGTACAAACCCATCTGGAAAAACGAACTCCCTGACCTGTACCTCTACTGCAAACTGGGCCACCCTTTGAACATTAGGCCCTCAGGCCTGCTGGCTAAACGGACCACCGCGCCCCTTCTGTGCCCCGTGAAGGGGGGCGAACTAGCTCCAAGGGCCAAAGGGGGAGGCTCCGAGCTTTGCCTGCCCTCGGCACGGGAACCAACAGTGTGAACAGGCGACACAACCTACTTCCCCGTCGCAACCATGGTGTCCTTAATAACCTACTCCCAAGAGACGTTTGAAGGTAAGGAGCACTGACTTATTACTAATATTCTACGCTCTACATAAGTACATACATTACTGAGGCAATACAGGGAAGGACCAAGTAGGATAAAGCCAAACGGTGAGAAATAGCTGAGTAGAAAGTAAGCAAAATGTTCCCAGAAAGAGAACAGCATGACAGGGGAATAACACCAGTACAACACCATATACAAAATAAGTAAAAATGAAATCCACACAAAGAGTAAAAGAGCTTCACCCACAATGACGAGATAAGGACACACGACACTAACCTTACCCTCCGATCCTCAGACCTCCTTCCGGGGAAGCATCTCAAACTGCTGCAGCAGGGCCCCCAATGGCCTAGGCGGATTTCTCGCTTTCCTTCCTCATCAGCATCCAACAGATGACGTGCTCCCTCTGAAAGGGCAGCTTGGGTTCCGCTCCTCACACTGGCCCTCATTGCCTNAGCGGGGGCAACCTCCTTGAGACTACACGGTTATACCGACCAGCTGCCGACAGCAGCCGGTAGTGGTAAGAGATGAGTATCGACTGACTATGCTGTTTGAAGAAACGCGCATCCAGACGCGCAGTGCGCCCGGCGGCCACCATGGCGTCCGCGATAAGCTCATTGTATAGACTTCATGAGCATTCGAAATTCCATTACCAATCTGAGTGGAAGTCAAGTGCGAATGAACATTTCAAAACAGATTTGATCGTCGTCAGAAGACTTGAATAAATAAATGAATAATGAGTAATAAAAAATGAATAAATCTTTTGTTCTTCAATTCAGAGCTTGATCAATATGATAAGTCGGTACCATTATTTGTTGAGCGCTTAACCTGTGAATATAGGTGTTACAGCTGCATCTCCTCATCCTCCGACGTTATTCAATTACCTTCAAGCAGTTGATCTTTCGTTAAAAGAGGTGTCGTATGCGAGGAAGATGATTCGAACGAAAACTCCCAGAAGATCTGTTTGTACTGTAGGTGCTGAAGTCGAATAGCTATGTATTTTTACATTACGGCTTTATAATTTACTCTGACTGCTTAGTGATCGAAGATCGCGGTTCATGTTTTGCAAATCATATTGAAGGCACAGTTCACGATAAAAAGTGATTGTGAGATATCCTGCTAGGATTAATGTTGACCCTTTGTAAACCATGGGTCCAGTATCTTCTCCCAGAACACTGCTTCGCGATCGCCGCACCCGCCGCGTATCGCGGAAATGCGATAGAAGATAGGAGCCGCAGTTTGTTAGTTCGGGAGTCCTTTAATTATGAATTTGCTGCCCGCTCCCTCTAATTCTGATGCGGTCTTGATCGTCGATAATATAGTAGTTACTCCAAACAATCAAGTCTCATAAACATAAAAACGAAAAAGACAGAAGAAAATAATCAAATCCAATCAAAGAAGGAAAGCAGTCAACAAACGTCCCATCGATTGACGGGGAGGCAGGCTGTGTACGGTAATTGCAGTTTGAGGACGCGGGACAACTAAAAAAGATTTGCTGCATAACGCAAAACGAACGTGGTGAAATCGGGGAGAAGTTCCGTCACCCATATACCATATATGGCACCGTCAGGTTGGAAAATTGACTAGGTAGGGCGTTATCAAAGCCCAAAGATTGCTCATCACATGTGGGGGCGGATTTCATCGGCATTGATCAGGCTGCACCATTCACAGCGGAACCCGTGAGAGAAGTTCAAACATCTTGTGATGACCCAAGGGACAGTGAGAGGCAGTTGTTGACAATTTTCGCTTGACGTAGTCAGCTCTTTGCGCAATTTTGAGAACTGAATTCTCGTCCTCAAATGTATCGTNCGGATTTCATCGGCATTGATCAGGCTGCACCATTCACAGCGGAACCCGTGAGAGAAGTTCAAACATCTTGTGATGACCCAAGCGACAGTGAGAGGCAGTTGTTGACAATTTTCGCTTGACGCAGTCAGCTCTTTGCGCAATTTTGAGAACTGAATTCTCGTCCTCAAATGTATCGTGAATTGTGCCTCAGAGAAAAATATTTAGAATAGAAAATAAGATGGAGAGAAGGAGGAAAAACAGGAAGAGTATGGCATGAGCTAGCCCAGCAGCCTAGTCTTATTTTCAAGATTTGCCAAGCCAGTACGTCTGTTATTAAATTTGTTCACAAAGCTCAGAGCAGAGGGGAAGTAGGACTTATTGCTAGTGTGTAGATATCTGTACGTACATGCATACTACATGGAAGCCTGCATAGAAGTCTTACTTTCCTTATTGTTATTACTGCTATCAGAGATCACGTGTAAGACTCTTTTTCAAGCAAAGTTTCCCAATGTGGAGGTCAGTTTTTGCGGAGTTTTTAGGCTGTTTAAGGATCTTGAACGACTTTAGGGTGACAGTGGCGGACCACTGGTTCGGATCAACAGTCGAGGCAAGCATGTCCTAGTTGGAATCACCTCTTCAATGAAACCACATTGCGATGTTCCATTGGAGAGGGTTTACGGTAAGTCTTATCAGCATTCAACCTGCTGCAAGAGGGTTCTTGCTTGCAGACATAGTGATCATTGGAAGGGAAAAGAATCAAGCAGTGCATCCCGGATAATGGCTTCAAACCTTATAATGACTCCACCCAATTTATTCCACCATTCCTTTTTGGAAAGATGTCGAGGAAATGGGGGCAGGAGGGCGAAGGGATAAGGGATAGGGATGAAATCCAATTCTATCCCAAAAACCCACGTAGTCTTTGATTATTATGTAGGCAACTGCCAAAATACTCGTCCACTACTAGTTCCATAGACTGCAGCCGCTGCCTCTTTTTGGGAAAAAGCTCCGAGCGCTGCGTTCACATCTTCCCATAAGATCTTATCTATGTGATTCTTTACAGAACGAGATAGCTACTTCGCAGATGTCCGTGCTTATATCGGCTGGATTTGCGATAAGACAGGTAGGAAAACTCTAGTGAAACTTTTTATAAGCCCTATGGCTAAGCTGAAAAACAAACGTTTATTCGACTTACGTTTCGGCCTTTTCGCCCTCTCCAGAGTCTGGAAAGCTAAAGATGATCGCGATTCATCATCATACAAGAACTAAAACCTCGCGAAACAGTTCTAGAGTTAGTAGCTCTATATAGGTATGATAATCACAAAACACTTTTCACCCACTCCAAGATCCGACCAGTCTTGATATAATTTTACTATGGCAAGAGTGGTACTGGTCCAAAAACAAACACTATGAAAAACAAGAGAACCAAGATCAGGAAAAAGGATAATTGTAAAAAGATAAAACAATAGGCACGAGAATGACATAAAAAATGTCAGTCAAAAAATATAGTACACCAACATTATACGGTAACAGGGCTAATGGCGTCTCCATAGATCCACAATCTGCACAAATAGTTCGATTTTAGGATACGGTAACTCCAGCGAGGATTTTCTGTAGGAATGCTATCTGGTCACACAAAACATCCTTAGCCGCTATGCTATGGAAGGGTCTTGGGACGAGATCCCACTCGTTGCAATTCCGTAGGAAACTGGCTACAATATGCTTTGAATGCCCGGAATTGCCTCACACTGTCGCCATGGGTCACACCTCTGTTGTCGAGTGTAACAGTCAGTGAAACATGAAGGCAGTAAGTGGCGCAACCGCCAAAACGGCATTACAACTCGTCCAGTTCTGGGTGTGGCATACAGTGTATACAATCTTTGAGCCAACATTACGCTATATCTAGGCCTTTTTCTGATCTAGCAGTGCCACATACGGAATCTTAGGTAGAACAGATTCCTTCTGAAGGGGTATCCGCGAATCGCTTCCCTGAACGGTGCCTTCAAACTTTAGAAAAGACTCATCAAGAAGACTACGTCTCTGAAGGAATTTTTCGAACTTTTATTCTTCGAAATGAATTTTCTCACGTGAATACTCCAACTTCGAATTTTTTTACTTATGTATGCTTTACGCTAGTGAAATTGAGTTTGATTCTAGTAAGAATGTTTTAATTTTTACGCCGCTTTTTTATTTGTAAAATAAGCCGATTTCTTATTCCGAGTGGGAGATGACCCAAGATTTCATATTTTCAGGTGTTTGTCCCGAAGGACGAATAAGTGCAGGTGTTCCCGAAAGACGAACAAGTGCAGGTATTATCAAGTAGCTGTTTTGGACGACGATCATCCTTCAGATTCTATATCTATCTATCGTCTGCCTGGAGAATGGACGAAATGATTAGATATAATAGGATTATGCTTTTGTGTTTTCGTTTCGTATGCTTGATTAAACTTCACGTATTAAAAAAATAAAATTTAATAAAAATGTCAGTAGACCTTGCGATAGTCAACAAGTTGTCCAGTAGTGTGGGCCAGGCTTTATTCAAAGTTGTTTTAACAGCCTTTTGACTGAAAGCTCTCCTTTCAAAAGCCATTACGATTCTGAGAAGAAGTTGATTGCGGGGCGCATCTCAAAGATGGGAGTAAGCCATGAACAGTGTACCCTGCTCGTCGATAGTCATGTATCCAATTGAATGAGCAAACAGATGATTACTCCGATCCCCGAGGAAAACGCTTGTCTGCCCATAGCTTTCTGAATCGTTCTCTGGCCTGTGATGTGGGAAGTAATTACAAGTAATCAGGGTATCTGAAAACAGCTGCACAAATCAGCAGAGCAGCCGCCATTCCCTCGGAACGATTTGACGGACTTCGCCTACTACCGTCCTTTTCCTCCTATAGCCAAGGTGATTCATACATAGGTCTCACTGTCAGTGCTATAGCCTTACAGAATAAATATGCTTCTTTCGAATTTCTCTCATTTTTCTTTTTATTTTTTCTTTCCTTTTCTCTTTTCTTTCCTTTTCTCGCAATGTTTTTCTCGGCATAATGATCTTTGCGAGATTTATGCCCGTAACCTCTCATCGCCATTCTCTGCGGTACTGACAGCAATTTGTCGGCACCTTTGACTGGCGAAGTGAATAATTCTGGTCGCCTGCTCACCCTGAGAAACTGCTGTTCACACCACCTAACCATGTCGCGCTATCAGTTCGTGGGAAATTGAGACTCACTCCGGGTCCTCGCCAAATTAAGTTCTTCCGTTTCAGCAAAGCCGCCTCCTGATGCCTCGGCCGTTTCAAGAAACGCCACTCGTTTTTGGAAAAAAAAGCCCAATAGGGTTCTGAATCCAAGATTATTCACCAGTCCTGCAGCAACAGTACTATTCTAAGAAATCGAGTTTTCCAGGATCTACCACTAATCAGCGATCCATATGATCTGATATTACTAGCTGGGGACTCAAAAAAGGTGCCATATTGTCTACGCAACATATGTTTGCCAATTTTCCATTCACGACACCCGGCACATGATGTCTATTGGAGCCCGCTGAGGTCATGTAATCGAGACATGGGCGTCGTGTTAATGGACACTTTCAGCATTCTTCCTTCTGAAAGAGCTGCATAGCTTCTGGGTAAACAGAAGCAGTATAGAGTTTGCTGCTCCCAGAACTTTCTTCAAATGCACTACAAATTTACTTTCTACCAGAAGTATTTTGAGAAAGCTACATATTCCAGCCACTGACCTTTTCTTCAAACCCTTGCCACTGTTACGACAATCAGACCCCTTAAAGTCGCGTGGCTCCCA